GGCCTGGAGCACCCAGTGCAGGGTGTTTGGGATAGGAAACCCAACTAAAGTGGTGTCCACTCCTCTGGGCCCCAGGGCTGGCTGGAGTGGGTTTTCTAGGCCCAACCCCCATGGGTGCCTCCCACCTGGAGACGGGCCTGCCTTGGGTCGGGGCATCAGTGACTCAGACATGGATACAAGTGCTTGGCTAATCTTTGGCTCAGGAACCGGGCTGGCCTCCAACTCTCAGCAGCCCACAGAGCTGCCACTGTCTGGGCAAGGAATCCTGGCGAGGGAGGGAGGCGGCAGGCAGGCAGGGAGAGCGGAGCAAACTGGAGTCGGGATGTTTTCAGAGGCTGAGAGGGGCGTTTGGGCTCCTGGTCCTGCTGGTCCTTGTGTGGTGGGGGTGACCAACTGTCCTGGTTTGCCTGGGACTAAGGAGTTTCTGGGCTAAACCCAGGCAAGTTCCAGGCAGACCAGGGCAAGTTGGTCAGCTGGGCTGAATGTCAGCTATGGATCTGGTCAGCTGGTCTTTTTGTTCCCTGAGTCCTGGTGAGTGCGAAGAATATAGTTCTCTCGACACATATTGACAGGAAAGGACGAGGCTTAGGGACAGACGGACGGACAGACCTCATCCCCACTACCAAGTGGCTGGAGTCTTGGGAAAGTCCCTTCCTTGTCCTGTGATGGAAGGCAACTCCCAGTGATGCTCCACTCTGGACTTTCTGACAGGTGTCTAGGTGGTGCTGATGCTGCGGGTCTTGGGACTGCACCTGTCCAGCATAGCTGTCTGACCCAGCACGTCTCTCCCTTTCAGTTCCAGAACTGTTCCTCTGTGGTCCAACTATATCCAGAGTTATAATCTCCCACATTGCCTCCTTTTTCTTTTTTTCGAGAGCCAGGCAAGCCAAAAGTTGTCAGACATTCTGTTTATAGCTTGCAGTGTCCCAGCTACCACCTGAAGTGGTTGATTGTCACACCTGTCAGTCCCCAAATATTTGTCGAGTCCCCATGAAAACCTAAGCGGCATTTGAGGCAGTGGGAATATGGTAAACCTGACAGGCACAGCCTCTAGCCTCCCAGAGCTCACATTCTAGTTGCGGAAATCAAGCAAGACACCCATGAACAAGTCACTTCAGATCCGTGAAGAAAATAAAAGAGATGGGATGCAGGTGCGTGGGGTGGGGACTGTATGTGGCTGCGTGGTCAAGGAAAGCTCTGAGGCGCGGGCGATTGGGCTGAGGGATGGAGGAGCAAAGGAAGTAGCAGGAGGAGGTATAGACCTGGAACAGCCTTCCACGTGGGAGGAACTGCAAGTGCGAGGCTCCGTGTGACCTGGGCCTGCAGCATAGTACGGTGTTGCTTTCCATTCTGCGTACAGTGGGAAGCCACCAGCAGCTTCTAAGCAGGAGAGCAACATGATTTATGTGTTTGCGAGAGGGCTGTGGGGGCATGGAAGGGCAGGGAAGCCACTGAGGAGCCAATGCCAGGGCGTGGGTGAGGAAGGTAGCCTGGGTGGGCAGGTGGTGAGGAGTGGACAGATTTGGGTGCATTGGAGCTGATCAGTGAAACTTGCCCCAGACTGTTTTAGAAGCGAGGGAGAAGGGACTCCAGGATGAGGCTTCAGTTTCAGCCCGAGCAGAATACCAGAAAGGAGCAGATCTGAGCGGGAAACACAGGGCTGCATTTCGTTTTGAGTTGCTTGTTAGGTGTTGAAGAGAACTGAAGGAGACAGGTAGGACTTGGCATCTTAGGAGAGGAGAGAGAGAAATTGAGGCACCAGCACAGAGGTAACATTTAAAGTCAAGAGATTGCCTAGCAATGAGGGAGGGAGTTGGATAGGGAAGAGGAGAGGGCCCGGGACCTGCTAGCATTTGGCGGTCAGTGTCGGGAGGGGAGCAGCCAGGATGTGGGAGGAAAACCAGGTATGTGGCACCCTGGCAGCCTTGGGAGGTGGCCAAAGAGGCAGAGGGTGCTCACGGTCTCCCTCCCTGCTTCTCGGGCCTTGCAGGCCTTGCCCATCCAAGCGCCAGGGGTGACTGGAAATCCCTTGTAACTGAGAGCTTCCTGGTCAGTTGTGCCCCAGGTCAGGAGCCAGATAGCTGTCACCTGTAGTGTCACTTCTGATGCCCTTTCTCAGGTGCCACAGAGCAGTGTTTACCTGTCTCCGGCCTCACTCCTTACCCAGCCCCAAACCCTTCGTTTACCAGTATGCGATGGCTCAAGCTGTGACCTCTGTTCTCACTGTCTCCTCTGGGGACTTTTCTCCTGTTTATGCTCGGAGGCTCAAGCTGTGACCTCTGTTCTCACTGTCTCCTCCTCTGGGGACTTTTCTCCTGTTTATGCTCGGGTGTTTGCCTCCTGGTGAACTGCCTATCATACTTTCTGTTCTCTGTTCTATATAGCCTTTTGGTTTTATTGGGTTATTTTCTTCCTTCTCTCATTTTCAGTTTAGAACTAGCCTCACCTTACAAATGAGTTTAAGTGGTTTATCCAGTGTGGTCCCAACAGACCTGGCCCTGGGTCTCCCTGTGCAGGGGTCATGGCGCATGGCTCCCAGCCCAGTGCTCTTGGCCCCATCCCACCTGCAGCCGCTCCAGCCACATGGAACCTGTCCCCCTCTCCGAGGCCTGGGCAGTTTATGGGAGGGTCTTCTCCCTCTTTTCTCACTAAACACATCCACATGCCCAGGGCTGGGCCTTTTTTGGGCTTCAGCTCGGCACAGAGGGTCCTGGAAGCCCAGATGGCCAGGACAAAAGAGCCCAGCCTCCCTTCCCTCCCTCATCCTTCCCTCTCTGACTCCCTGGATCTTTCCTAAATGGATTAGGAGCCAGCAGCCATCTGGGGTGACCTAGAGGCCAGGGCTGGAGCGCTGTCTGGAGCCTCCTACTTTGCCCTGATTCAATTTTGGCTCCCACAGCTGGGAGGCTGGCAGCCTGAGGCCTTTCTGGGAATGGTTCAAGGGACTGGCAGGCAGTGGGTGGCCAAGGAGAGGGGACAAGCACCCTTGAAGCACCCCAGGCAGGCAAACCTCTCAGCTGGTCATGCCACAGAAGGCCCCTGGCCATGGTGCCTGGTTGCCTCTTGGTGCATTAGTATATCTCATCCGTGGCCTGTCATACCCTCAGCATCCTTAATACTGTGGATTTTGAACTTTTATAATACTGCAACCTGGGGGGAAGAAATACATTTTATAAACATGTAGAAGTGAACCCGATACATCTTTGGCTAACTGCTGACTGGCCAGTTGTTAAAATCAATATTTATCCACAGCCAAACAGCAGACTTGGGCCAAGACTGAGGCCAGAGCCAAGCTCTGATGCATCCCTAATTCCTTTGAATGTTTGCATAACTGAAGTCAGACACTTCTCACCTTGTTATATGTGCTATACTCAGACATTTGCTGTTCTGTGTCTTCAGTTTCATAACCCACTTAAAGGCCGTGATTTGGACCACACTGCTTTGGTCCGTCTTGTATGTCAGGCCCTGAGCTGGGACCTGGGGGTGCAGCAGTGACAGACAGACTGGTCCCTGCCCTCACAGAGCTTATAGGGCCCAGGGGCAGCTGTAGTGGTAGAAGACAATGTGGGTTTGGCACCCTTTAAGGCGCCAGGACCATTGTCATCTGCCCAGTGCCCCACGTCCTCCTTTCCCCTAGTCATGCGCATAGACTCCTTCACCCCATCTGCAGGAAACAGAGTGGGTGGGATTCACAGGCTCCCTTGAATGCCTAAAGCCCTGTTCCCTGCTCACTCCCCTGAGCTGGCTGCCTGGGGCCTCTGCACAGAGTGATGCTTGGGGCTGAGCCCAGAGAGGGAAACCTACTGACCTTTGCCCTCTCCTTTGCCTGGATTGGTGAGGGGGCAGCTGCCTCAGAAGAAGGTGCTGGCACTGGGGCAACTTGTGGGTAGACCCCCTGGGCCTGATTCCTAGGGTCTAGACAGGGAGGGACAGGAAGAAATGGGAGCCCAGGGAGGCCGACCTTAGTGTCTTGTGGGTGTTCAGGCCAGGCTGGGTGGCGCAGGGGCAGCAGACCTGTTTCCTGCCTGGAGGAGCCCCGATGGGGGGCCCTGGTCTAAGGGGAACCCAGCGAGGGGGAGGATGTAGCACTGTCTTCCAGGAGCCTCATGACAAGGGGACAAAGTCCTATCTGGGAAAAACCCTGGTCTGAGATGAAGCAACCTCTGCACCTCTGAGCCTGGGTCCCGACAGCCAGGAAGTAGACTGAGGCTCAGAGGCCTCAGGGCAGTGGCCTTATTTGTGAGGAGCATGTGGCTTGATACAGAACTGTGGTGGAGGATCTCGGGGACATGTGGGAGGCCAGCGAGAGCACCTGACCCAACCAGAGCAGGAGAGGGCAGGAGGTGGGGCTGGAGGGGGTATCTTCCCAACAGAGGCAACAATTAAAAGCTGAGTGGGCAGTCAGTAGATGACGAAGGAGTCAGGAAAGGTACTCGGGGCAGAGAGAATGGAACCCATGACAGCTGGAGAGCCATGAAGAATGTTGGTATGTTTGGGGGGATGGTGATGCTTAGAATACCCACAATGTGGGAGTCTGGACAAGGAACCTTGAACACCAAAGTAAGGACTCAAGAGCTAACGTGGGCAGTAGGGAGCCAAAGAAGGTACGTGAGCAAGAGAAGGGCCGTGGCCAGAGCAGTGTACATGGGAGAGTTGGTGGTTGGCGTGCTGGGCTGACCGGTCATAGTACTGGGCTCTGCTCTGGGGCTGCAGACTTGGAGGAAGTGCTGTGGGGCACACTCCTCAGTTATCCTGCCATCTGCGCCGACACCTGTATGGACCATGTGTGAGCTGCTGCATGTCCAGGCCTGTCAAGGCTCTGATTTTGTTTTGTATATAAGACCCTGTGGAGAAGAGAAGGCCAGCTCTTGATTCATCCCACCTGGGAAGTAGCAACAGCCCTGGGGTCCCGGAGCTGAGTAGGTTGGGGTGGGAAGTTGCCACATGTGCCACAGCCTATGGCACATGCCCACCTCTGCCTCCTCCCTCTCTCTGTCTAGGTGATCATGGCCTTGCTGGGGAAACGCTGCGATGTCCCCGCCAACGGCTGCGGGCCTGACCGCTGGAACTCCGCCTTCACCCGCAAAGATGAGATCATCACCAGCCTTGTGTCTGCCTTAGATTCCATGGTGAGTGCCCCTGCCTGCCCCTGGAGGAGTGGGACATCCAGCTTTGTAACCAGACACTGGGCTTCAGTCCCACCTCTGCCACTTAGAGCAGCCTCACCGACCTGAGCCTCTGAGACTGTCCCTACCTGCAACAAGGGCCTTTGCCTACATCAGGGGGCTGGAGGCCTAAGTGAGATCAAATACATAAAAATCCAGTCCTGGGAATAAATGCTGGCTCCGGCCCTCATCCCTTTGTCCTTATTTCATCACCTCTTGCCGTTCAGGGCCCTTCCCTGGCATGGTCATAAGTCTCCCTCCCAGCAGGTCACCTAGCAGATAATGGGTGGGGAGTGATTTATTAGAAAACTGTTATCCCCAGTGTTACAGCAAGAGCTGTAACTGCATCTCGGGACTGGGAGAGAGAAACAGGACTTCATAAATCTCTCTTCTAGCACCACTGTCTACATACCTAAGCCTATAGCAGTTTACTCCAAATGAGGAAATAATAATGTCATTTTTCTCTAGCCTTTTGCTGGGGGGTAGGCAGGTGTTAAAAAAAAAATGTGTCTGGCATCAGTAAGCTGTACCCCTGCATTTTCGGGTGGTGAAGCTGAAATTCAGAGAGAGCAGTACCTTATCTGGAGACACACAGCATGCCCAGTTTTTAAAGTGGACACCCACGTGCAAAGTCTTCAGTTCCCCCAGGACAAAGAGCCTCCTTCCTGGCAGTTCCTGCTGTAGGCAGCTCTAGGGCATTTCTGGTAGTGTTTGGGCCAGAGGCAGTAGGTATCCCTGGGGAAGCCAGCTGGGTACAACCCCTCCCCTGTGCAAAGTGGCCTTCAGGAGAAAGGGAGCCCCAGGAGCTCAGCCCTGTGTCCTGCAGCAGTGTTAGCTTGGTAGTGAAGTATAACTGATGGAGGCGGTGCTGGCAAACAGCACAGCCACTAGCCACAAGTAGCAATTGACATTTAAATTGTAACTAGTTAAACAATTCAGTTGCTCAGTCGCATGGCCTCATTTCAAGTGCTCAATAGCCATATGTGGCTAGCTAATGGCCACAGTATTGGACAGTGTAGAAATAGAACATTTCCGTTATGGCAGAAAGTTCTATTGGACAGCACTGCTCTAAAGGGTGTTTCAGAGGCTCCCTGGAGCTTGGAGGAGCCAGTGACCCTGTAGCTAGCCTGGCGACGTGAACAAGACAGGTCTCTCCTGCCCCAGTCCTGGGGCCCTTAACGGGTAGGGTCATCATCTGTTCCCACTGCAGAATATAAGTCTGAGAATGTTGGAGGAGTGACCTCTTCCTGGAGCCGCTGGTGGGAACTTGCATTCCACCCCCAAAGCTGGCCTGGAGGTGTCCTGGGCTGAGGGGACCTTCCCCCGGGCTCACATACCCTGCTTCCTCCACAGTGCTCAGCACTCTCCAAGCTGAACGCAGAAGTGGCCTGTGTCGCTGTGCATGATGAGAGCGCCTTTGTGGTGGGCACCGAGAAGGGGAGAATGTTCCTGAATGCACGGAAGGAGCTGCAGTCAGATTTCCTCAGGTTCTGCCGTGAGTACCCCAGGGCTCTGGAGGGCCAGGTGCTAGGTCCCCAGAACAACACCAGGATGGGCGGCCCTGTGTCTGGGTCACCCGGGACAGGAGTGGGTTGTGCAGGCTTCCTAATGTGGCATTGTCAGGGGCGGCCCCAATTTTAGTCGGAATCGTACAGCAGCCCCTCAGTCAGTCAATAGGGCCTGGCTGACTGAACCCCAGGGCCGGCCAGGCTCACCTACCCCTGTCTGCTCACTGACAGAAGGGGACACTGAGGCCCAGCGTTGTTGCTCCGTTCCTATGAGCCCCTGACACAGGGACCGAGCACACTTGTTCAGCTAATGCTTATTGAGCACCTGCTATGTGTGACACCCTTCACAATGCCAACTCATTTACCCTAACATTGGTCTTATGAGGTAGGCACTGTCATTGTTATAGTAACATAATCTTGGAGCCACCTCCTGGCAGTTCATGGGGACGGAGTAACTGAGGACACGTCCAGCAGCATGCAGGAAATACTTGATGAATGTGAGTGCTTGGTGCTGTCTGATAGTGCTGTGGGCAGGGCCACGTGCTGGTGCCGTTTACCCTTCCCAGCAGGCTTAAGACAGTTACTGCTGGTTTACAAATGAGAAATTGAGGCATAGTGAGCATAAGCCAGCTCCTCAGGGACACACAGCTGACAAGTGACAGAGGCAGGGTTCAAGGCCAGGCCTCTGGTTCTGAAACCCATGCTCTTTCTGCTACAGCCCTTCAAAATTGGGGAGATGCAGCACGGGCACCTCCAGGAGCCCTGCCAGGAGGTCCTGGTCGCTCTTGGAAGAAGGCAGTAATCAGGGCCGTGATCTAGAAGCCCCAAGGCAGAGGGGTCATTCTGAAGCCCCCAACTCTTCAACACTGGGCGTTTAGGGCCCTTCATAACCTAACCCCTGCTTCCGCATTCTGCTTTATAATGTGCCTTTAACCCTCCCCGCCCCCCGTGCTGAAGTGCTAGCTCACCAACCCTGTGTGTCCCGTCTCGCCTCCACCTTTCCCCTGCTGTTCCTCTACCTGAAAGGCCCTCACCAGGCCCTATTTGGGCTCCTCTACCCCTCACACCTATGCTGTGGTTGCTCCTCACACCACACCAGCCTCCTGTGTCCTGAATTTCCATTCGTGCCTGGTGCCCCAGCTTGGCCGTAATCTTTAGGGGCGAGGGGTGGGGATGGGTGTCAGCTTCACCTTTCTGATGGATTAGGTCCTGCAGGGGTAGGGCCTGGTCCCAGCGTTGAAGGCCAGCTCCCAAGCAGACATCAAAATCCACGATTTGGGACTCAGAATTCTTGAGATAACAGCAGGCCCTGGAGTCAGATGCCTGGGGCCACATCCTAGCTCTGCCACCTCTTACTTACTGGGCGTCAACTTACTCATCTGTGAAAGGGGAAAACAGTGCTACTTCTTCACTGGTCGATCCAAGGATTAAACAAATTAATACATGGCAAGCACTTAGAACAATGCCTGGCACTTAGTTCACATTCAGTAAATGCCAGCGTTGTCCTGCCATTATTAGCATTTTCATTACACCATGGGCCTGGACCCTAGGATCAGCCGTTTTAGGGAAGGTTGCCCCCCAGCTTTAGACATATCATTACCGAGGTCCATTTGCTTCTGCAGCGATTCCCCAGTCCCACTCAGCTCTCAGAACCTGTACCCTTGGAAAGGGTGGGAGCTGAGGGTGAGCCAGGGTAGGGTAGACAGTGGCAGAGTCCTGTGGCCCTCACTTGGTTAGGCTGAGAGCCAGGCTGGGGCCTGGGGAAGGTGCACCTGTCTTCCTGGAGCCAGGCAGAGCCACTATTTATAGCACCAGGGACTTGGCTGCTTTATTTCAAGCTTCAAGATCCCAGAGGAGAGAAGGTTCCAAGCTGTGAGGGGGGGCCTCCAGGCCCTCCTCTTATCCCCTTTCCAACACTTTCTAGCATCTTCCTCACCCAAGGATCCACTGACATGCCTAAGCCTCCACCCTGGCCCAGCCTAGCATGAACCTGCCTCTTTGCAGCCTCTTGGCCTCCTGGTGGATTCCCTGTTGTATCCTCATTTGACAGAGCAGAAAATTGAGGCCTTGGGTTAAGACAGAACATTAGTGTCAGAGCACAGAAAGGGGCGGGTGGAATGGACATTCATAGAACTCCAGCTCTGAGCCAGACCAGGGGGTCTCCTGTGAGAGCTCACAGACTGAGGCCCAGAGAGGAAAGGGATTTGCTGAAGGTCACACAGCATGTTAGAAGTGACCAGAGATGAGACCCAGGCTCCATGACCAGCCCTGGCCCTGGGTAGGGTGGTTGGGGCAGGGCTTATACACTCATTAATTCTTCATTCATTCATTCGCACTTCATATTGGGTGCCCAGCTTCTGGGCTCAGCACAGGGCAGGGACATCCAACTTACTAGGCAGGTGGGAGACAGATGCTCACCACGGCCCACATGCTCTATGTCTCACAGGAGGGCCCCCATGGAAGGAGCCAGAGGCAGAGCACCACAAGAAGGTGCTGCGAGGCGAGGCTGGCGGCCGGAACATCCCGAGGTCTACCCTGGAGCATGGCTCGGACGTGTACCTTCTGCGGAAGATGGTAGAGGAGGTGTTTGATGTTCTTTATAGTAAGATCCTTCCTCATTCCATTTGGGGCCCCCAGGTGGGTTGGAGCCCCAGTCCCTGCCCAGCTGAGGGGGCCCCCTTCTGCCCCATTACAGACCCTGGGCAAAACCTCAAGGCGTGGGGGCCTTGCCCGCTAGCCCTCAGCTGCATCCCCAGGCGTGGATCTTCTGACTCAGACTCGTTTCCTGAACCACCATCCTCTCTGCTCCTGCCCCGGCACTAGGCATTTTCACCTCTCACCTGGAAATGGCCCCAGGCTGGCCCTGGCCTCCTCACCTCCAGGCCAACTCCCTGCTGCCCCCACCCACCGTATGACCAAGGACATCTTCCCAAAGCACAAGTCTGACCATGCTCTTCCCTCTACTGCCTTCTGGGGCTCCCCACTGGCCTCGGCATGGCGTAAGCACCCACCACAACCTGTTCCCACCCACCTTTCCAGCAAGGCTGACCCTCCTCATAGAATTACTCCCTGTTCTACAGCACACTCTAGCTTCATTTCACACCTCCATGGCTTTGTGCCTCTGTGCCTTTGGGGACTGCCTTCTCCTCTGTGTGTTGGACACTGTATTACTCTCTTAAGGCTTAGCTGCGGGAAGCCCCTCACACACTGGGTTAGGGTTTTCTCTGGACAACCACTATGCCCTGTCCCCTCACTATCCCAGTTACTCAACTGGGTCAGGGACCATGCCTGCCCTTTCTGCTGTCTCCAGCATACAATTCAGGGCCCAGCAGCAGCAGGTGCTCAGAGGGTGTTTGTTGAATGACTTACTAAAGGCTAACAGGTTAGCCAAGTCCTTCCTGTGGGGTTGGGGAGGGGCAGGCCTGGCTTTTCTTGGGGGAGTGTCAGGATACAGAGTCTCAGGGCCCAGTGATGGCCTTCACACTCCCTAGGTAATCTTGGGCAGGTCCTTAAGGGTCCCACCTCATTTATCTCTGACTTGCTCTATTCCTTTCCCTATTCAGCCTTTGGTTCTATAGAGCAAAGGTCTGTGAGGAAACTTCCGCTGTTTTCTAGATGTCAGGGGAAGGAGGCTAAGGGGACATAGGGGGCCCAGAGGTTCTGGGTGGGCACATGGGCCAGTGTGGGATGAGAGGAGTTTTCACATGTGATTGATTGGCTTTGCCACTGCAGACACTTTTGCCAGCTGTAGGGTTTGTGCCCCGAGCCCCCACTCCCCTGCCCACTCTGCCCTGGCCCTCCCCCTCCAACCTCAGGCAGAATCAGAGGTGGCGATGAGGTGAGGGTCCTCTTTCTGGTTCTGATGGGGGCTGTAGCATGGGAGTGACAGCAGATGTTCTGAGCCCAGGCCCCTCAGCCATCCCACCCCCTTTTTTCCTAGCCAGTCTCCCCTCTACTCACTCATTCTCTCATCCTTACCATCTCTTCAGTCTCTCCTCTCTCTTTTTCTGAATCCCCTCTTTCTGTTTCCTCCCCACTTCCTGTTTTCCTTACCTTCTTTCCCTCTCATTCTCCTCCCTTCCTCCCTGTGGCTTTTTCCTTGCCGTCTCTCGCCTGCCCTCCTTTTTTTCTCACCCTTTTCCCCTTCTTACCTCCTGCCCACAGCCTTGGGCCTGCTTTCCCCTCCACCCAGACACCTGGAGTGGAGAAGAGCGAGGGAAGGGAAGCACGGACCCCCTCAATGGGGAAGCCCCAGCCCTCGGACAGCTCCTGCCCATCCTACTCCCAGCTCATGAGGGTTATTCTGTGTAAGGTTGCATTTAAGGAGCCGATGGAGTCCAGTTTCTTGGGAACCCAGTACCAAAGGGAGTCACTGAACATGGGGCATGCCTGGCCCCCACCCCATCCTGGCTGCCCTCTCATTCTAGGCCCTCTCTTCAACCCCCTTCCCTCACAGGCGAGGCCCTGGGAAGGGCCAGCGTGGTGCCACTGCCCTATGAGAGGCTGCTCAGGGAGCCAGGGCTGCTGGCCGTGCAGGGGCTGCCCGAGGGCCTGGCCTTCCGGAGGCCGGCCGAGTATGACCCCAAAGCCCTCATGGCTATCCTGGAGCACAGCCACCGTATCCGCTTCAAGCTCAAGAGGTGAGTGAGGCAGCCTGCTTGAGAGTGGGCCAGGGCCTGGTGGCTGCACCATGAGGGCTTGGCCAGAAAAGGCTAGAAGGGCGACCTGTTCCCATGCTGGCTCAGCCACCATGGTCACTTAGCCAGAGAGGAGGGGACTTCAGGCCCCCATGGGGGAACCCGGTTATAAAAGCTCCCAGTCTGGTAGTGGAGGTGAGCCAAAAGTCCTGTCTTGGAGCGTGATCTGAGCCAGGCGTTTAGTCACAGAAGTCTTCCTAGCGGCCCTCTGTGTTACAACAAAGCTGGGAGAGACCTGGTTGGGGCGGCGGGGAATAGCACCAGCAGCACTCCAGGTGTCAGAAACGGCCCATGCAAAAGTGTGGCGGTGGGAAGCCAGCCTGAAGGCCATCAGTGCTCAGGCCCAGCAGAAGAGGGATGCGATGGGAAATGGAAGATGATCAGCTGCAGCTGAAAGGACACAGTTGGTGGCCTGGGGCACAGAGGCCAAGGGGCAGAGCCAGGGTCCTCCAGTGGCCCAGCCGTGTGGCTTGAGGCACATCATGCCCCACCCCAGGCCTATACCCCTACCTGATAATTGGGGACTGGCTCCTACTCTGTGTACCTCACAGGCTGTCATGTTCTGCAGAGAGAGTGCTAGCGGGGTGCAGAGTAAGAGATGCAGCTAGTAGGACCAAAGCACAAAATCATCTTGTGTCCTATGTCCTTCACCCAGGCCGCCTGAGGATGGCGGGCGGGACTCGAAAGCCCTGGTGGAGCTGAATGGTGTCTCGCTGATAGCCAAGGGGTCTCGGGACTGTAGCCTGCACGGCCAGGCCTCCAAGGGGCCACCCCAGGACCTGCCCCCCACTGCCACCTCCTCCTCCATGGCCAGCTTCCTGTACAGCACCGCAGTCCCCAACCATGCTGTGAGAGAGCTCAAGCAGGAGATGCCCGCCTGCCCACTTGCCCCTAGTGACCTGGGCCTTGGCCGGCCTGGGCCTGAGCCCAAGACTCCCGCTGCCCAAGACTTCTCTGACTGCTGTGGTAAGCTGCTGCTGGGAACCCCCAAGTCGGGGGGTGGAGCCAAGGTCACTCATGCAGGGTACCCCAGGGCAAGTCAGGGTGCTCAGGTCCTCCCCAGGCTGAAGGAGAAATACTGGAGCAAGAGACTGGCTGGGGTGGGACAGGTGACATTTTAACTTTGACCCTGTCAGACCCCAGGCTTTCGCTCAGCCATCTGTGAACAGTGTTGTTGGCCTGGGACCATGAGAAACTTGAGAGGGCTCCCAGAGGAGTCTATGGAGACAGTAAACATGCTAATTAGTCGCATGATTTAATACCCACTGGATTAGGGGTACTGGAAGCATCAGAGAAGGAACAGCTGGGTATGAGAAACACCTATATTCACAGCCTGGCTTTTTACTTAGTGGCTTTGTGTTCTAGGGCAAATCTCTACCTTTTTGAGCCTCAGTTTCCTCATCTATAAAATGGAGATGCCAGTAGTACCTGCCTTGCAGCGCTGTTTTCATGATGAAATGACAGCGTGTTAGAAATGTACATTCTCAGGCTGCCTTAGTTTTTTTTTTTCTGAGGGCGGGGCCCAGCTGTCTGCAAATTGACAGATTTACCAAGTGGTTCCCATGTACACTCAAGTTTGAGAACACAATAGGTGCTTATAAGTAATGTTTGCTATTATTATTATGAGGAGAAAAAAGGATGTCCTCCTGCTATGAGCAGGATGATGGGACTTATATGTCTGAAATAAGTGTCCCCATCTGTGAAAGGTGACCTCCCTGATCTGCCATTTGGATAGACTTCTAAAGAATGTCTCAGGCCTCTGGTCAGGGAACTCGCCTAGAGTTCATGATCACTGGGCTCAGTTCTGGAGTGTTCCTGGTAGGTAAGACTGTTACCCCAGAGCCAGTGCCTGTGCTGGCTCTGGGGATTCTTCTTGGGGTCCACCTCGAACCTATACCTTTTCTCTCCCTTGTCCAGGACAGAAGCCCACCGGACCTGGTGGGCCTCTCATTCAGAACGTCCATGCCTCTAAGCGCATTCTCTTCTCCATCGTCCATGACAAGTCAGGTAGGACAGTGCCCATGGCAGTCCCTTGACCAGAGTGGGGATCACGGGCTGGGGGTGGTGCTTACTGGAATCAAAAAGTCCACTGGCTGTTTGTGAGGGAAAGGAGGAACAGCTCTGTGCAAGGGACTTGTGAGTAAAACTGGTGTATAATAGTTACATGTTGCTGTGTAACATATTGCCCCAAAACTTAGATCAAAACAACAAGCATTTATACCTTACAGTTTCTGTGGAACAGGAATTTAAGAGCAGCTCAGGTGGGCAGTTCTGGCTCAGGGTTTCTCATGAGGTTGTCATCAAGATGTCAGCTGGGTCTGCGATCATCCGAAGGCTTGCCTGGGACTGGAGGATCCACTTCCAAGCTCACTGGGTCGCTGTTGGCAGGAGACCTGCTCTTCACTACGTTGGGGGCCTTTCCAGGGCTGCTTGAGTGTCCTCACAATATGGCAGCCGGTTTCCAGAAGTTAGTGATCTGAGAGAAAGGAGGATGCATGTCTTTTATGACCTAGCCTCAGAAATCCCTGTCACTTCTGCCATGTTCTACGCATTAGAAGCCAGAAGCTTGATCCAGTCCACACTCAAAAGCAGAAAGAGGAATTAAATTCCACTTTTTGAAGGAATATCAAAAAAATATCTGGACAGATTTTGAAAGTACCTCACAGAGTACTGAAAGCAGGAAAATTTGGGATTCATTTATACTGAAAAGGGATAAAGTGAGACTTTCCAGCAGTTTTGCCTTGTAGAGGTCTTATCCTCACCTTCAGTGAGAGGCTCTTTCAGAAAACCTAGTCCCCTGGCTTCAGAATGGAGACCTGACTGCTCCAGACAGGGTCCATCCCTGGCAGGGAGGGGACCTGGATATCCAGATGGCACAGCATTGTGGGAGGCCTTGGTGGGCAAGGGGTACAAGCTGAGATAGAATCTCACTGGGTACTAGTTGGGTGATCTCAAGCAAGATATTCAGCCTCTCTGAACCTATTTTCCCATCTGAAATATAGGAATAATGTCTATGGTTAAAGGTTGTCTTAAGGGATTATATAGGATATTATGTAGAGAGAGTACTTAGCACAGATAAACACTTAATAAATTGAAAGATGTTACTGTTATCGTCATAATGAATCAAGTGATCACTCTTATTATTCATATTAAATTGAGGCAGAGCCTTTGGTTTTATGGAAGAGACCAGTAGGGCTGAGGGTTTGGGAGAAGCCAACAAGGCCGAGGCTGGGTGAGACATCAGATGTATAAGGCGTGAGAGTTAGGTGTTCGAGGTCAAGACTCAGCCTCTCCTTACTCAAAGGGAACATTCTTCCCATCTCCTGCCTGTTTGGGGTAGGAGGGGCCCAGGATGGACCGGCTGAGCCTGCGTGACAGCCATTGTCCATGGCGGGGGAGAGAGCAGGTGGGGAGACCATCAGAGCACCTTGAATTTGTGTAGGGCTGCTTTCTGGAGGAGGCGTGGGTATCGAGCTCCAAGGCAGGAACAGGTGGAAGGGCTGGGGCTGATCTCTGGGGTTCTGGACGGGAATACCAGGGCCTGGGCCGTGGGAGGAATATGGCTGTCTCTGGGGGGCACAGCCTCAGCAGGGGGTGTCCACAGGGCAGCAGGGAACGGGTGGCTCATCACGAGGTAACCAGGCATGGGGTCCTGTCTCCGAGTGGCCCTTACTTGTACTTCCTGTGTTTTGATAGAGAAGTGGGACGCCTTCATAAAGGAAACCGAGGACATCAACACACTCCGGGAGTGCGTGCAGATCCTGTTTAACAGCAGATATGGTGAGTAGGCGGCACGGCCCGCTGTGTGGCCCCAGCAGCGTGTTGAGCATCTCATTACATGGCAATCACTTGTGTTCCCTAACATGACAGCAGGAGCCATATGCTGGCACCCGCACGCTGTCAACGCTAATGTCATCTCCTGTCTGGGTAGGGAGGTGGTTGTGTCAATATTTCCCTTCCAAATTCTCCAGGGGGTAAGACTGATGGCAAAGCCCCAGACCTTGACTCACCTATGGGAGGCGGGCGGGTCTGGGGCAGGCTGTTAAATGAAAAATGGCTGTTGGCCTCACAGCACTTTTAAGTTTCCCCCAGCACCATGCTGTTTCCTGCCTCCTTGCCCTTGCCCGTTCTGTGCCCTCTGCCTGCCATGCCCTTTGCATCTTCTGGGGGTAAACTCCCACTTGTTCTTCAATCCTTAGCCTGGGCAAGGTGGGCCCCCAAAGCTCTGATGGTTCCCCCTGTTACAGGTTGCACACTTGTGTGCCTGTCTATCTATCCTTCTGAGGGTCAGGATTGTGCTTGCGTTTCTCGTGTCCCTGGCACCCAAGACAGAGGTGGGCTCAGAGCACATGTCAGCCCACTGCACTCTGGGCAGCAAACACAGGTGGTAAGTTGGCAGGTGTGCCCTCTGTGGTTGAGCTTCACACCAAGTGAAAAACACAGCCACTGGAAGATGTACACATTCTAGGTCCTCGTAGGGAGGCATGCCCCCACCACACCTGTTCTCCTTTGTCTCCTTGGTAGCCCTCACTCACTCTCGCTTGCTTGCTTAGCCTTTATTGAGCTCCATCTGTAAGCCTCACTCAGGAGTCAGACACAGTGTGGTCCTGGCCTGGGCAGGTGGCTCTCAGTCACTGGGGAGTTGACACAAGTACCCACAGGTCCCTTTGTGAGCATCCAGGTGTGATGTCATTTAATACCACCTAAATTGTGCAGTCCTTCTGTGTGGAAGTCCATCTGCATGATGGGGTCAAGCAAGGGAAAGGATGGGGCACCATGCAGAGCTTGAGGACAGAGAGAGGAGAATCAGGGGCCTCCGGAGCTCCCAGCATGTTCAGGGTGGGGGGATGAGCAGTGCACTGGGAGTCCATGGCTGCTGGCCTGGCAGCCTAGAGTTGGCCAGTCTTCCTCCCTAACCTTGGCCTTCTAGCCATGGCTGGGCCTGACGGGGTGGAGCTTTACCGCCCTTTCTGCCCTCTCCTCATCCTCTCGCCTTCCCTCTTTCTCTCATCTCTTGTTTCTTCCTCCTTTCCCTTCCTTCCTACCTTGGTAAAGGAAAATCCTTTCTCTACTCATACCTCTTCTGACAGCAGAAATGTAGGTTTTCCCAAGCAATTCTCCAGTTCTCTGTGGACATTAACTGGGTGTTCTACAATTCAGTTCAGTTCTGACACTAACTACCCAGAGTTACACAGACTCCACAGATTAGACACTAACTACCCAGAGTTACACAGACTCCACAGACTAAGGGCTCAATCCCACAAGACTGCCCCCACTTCAGATTCCAATCACAAGTAGTGGGAATCCCACAAAACTGCCCCCACTTCAGATGCCAATCACAAGTAGTGGATCCACAGGGTATCCACACTTCTGTCTGACTTGGCCCCACATCCATGGTTCCTATGACCCCCTCCTCATGTTCGACAGTTTGTGGTAACAGCCCATAGAGCTCAAGGAAACACTTTACTTCTGTTTACCTGTTTATTACAAAGGGTGCAAATGAGCAGTCAGATGAAGAGGTACATAGGGTAAGGTCTGGAAGGGTCTCCAGCACAGGAGCTTCTGTCCCCATGGAGTTTGGGGTGCGCCACCCTCCTGGCACATGGATTCATCGACTCAGAAGCTCTCCAGACTCTTATTTGGAGTTTTCACAGAGGTTCCATTAAGCAGGCATGGCTGATTTAATCATTGGCGGTTGATTTGATCATGGGCCCCTGGTGATTAGCTCTGTCTCTAACCTTTCCTGTTCCAGGAGGTGGCCTGGGAGGCAGCTGAAAGTTCCAACCCTCTAATCACACTTGGTTCCTTTGGCAACCAGTCCCCATCCTAAAGCTATTCAGGGGCCCACCAAGAGTCACCTCATTAACACAAACTCTGGTATGGTCGAAAGGGGCTTGTTGTGAATAATGAAAGATGCCCTTCTCACCCCTATCACTCTGGAAATTATGAGGGCTTTAGGAGCCCTTGTGCCAGGAACCAGAGTTGAAGACCACATATATGCTTATTATATCACGTATCAGTCTTCCTTTCTTCCCTTCTTTTTTCTTGTCACATTTACTGGTTCATTCACTTACCAGTCATGCATTTTGAGCCCCCAGCTCTGGTCTCATACCAGGCACTCAGGCCAGCTCTGGTCTCAAGGCGATTCAGCAGTTGCCTCAACATGTGTCTGCAGTAGCACGCAGTGGTATATAGTCACACACTCCAGTGTGTGGTAGCATACAGAGGCGGAGGCCCTCAGAAAGAGAGGGCAGCTTAGAGGAAGGTGAGGTCTTAACAGGCTTTGGGAATCAGGAGTGGCTTCATGGAGGAGATGCCCTTTAGTCTACTCTGGGGCTGGGGAGGCCTGGCCATGTGGGCTTGGCAGTTCCAGGTTGGGGTGGAGCCAAGCAAGGCCCTCAAGGCCATAGTGAGGAGTCTGGGATAGTCTAGGTGCCTTTGATGTGGCCACCCTGGCTCACTCACTCTGCTCCTCTGCCTGGTACTGCCTACTGCAGGGCTGTCTGCACCTGAGTCCTCCTGGCTCCAGGCAGGTGTGAGCTGGATGAGCAGCAGGAAGAGGGAGCTGGGGAAGGCTGGCTCTGTCTGCCTTGGTGGAGGGCTCTGCCCCAGCCCAACTCATACGCAGCCACCAGTCTTCTGGCCTGTTATGGGCTCTGGGTGTTTACAGAATGTGGAGCCTTTTCCAGACTTTAGCACCTGGACCCCACCGGAGCCAAATTCAGGCGTGATAGAGGCCTTGCCCCTCCTCAGGCCAGAGCTCTCTCTGAGCTTTCCCTTCAGCTGGCCTGGGGAGGAGGTCCCCTGTGAGTATTGGAGGATCCTGTGGGTGAGGATATTTGGCAACCTGAGGCATCCGCAGACCTTGGATGAGCAGATCCTGCTCCTGGTTCTGCCCTTTCAGCCACCAGCCCTGGGCAAGGTGGACCAGCAATGGGTCTGGGGGGTACAGAGGGAAAAAAAAAAGAAATGAGGGTCCCCAGCCCTCAGGAAGCCTCAAGGACACTATCTCCTGGGAAGAGGTGAGGTGAGACTGGAAGAGGGGTGCAGGATTGTCCATGGGGGCTTCCTTCTGCCCTTCCCAGCAGGTAGTAGTAGCTAGAGGCTGGGAGGGGTCATGCCTCTGTACACTGGGTCTCATTGCTGCTGAAAAGGCAAGCCCAGCACATCAGATGAACTCAGGTGGAGATGAATAGACTCGAGGAACCCCTTGCTCAAGTGCTGGGGCTGGGTTGTGGCTGGCAGTGGTGGGGGTTGGGGGAAGAAATGGTTTGACAGCTGTTTAGATTTCGAGGGTTTAATTTGACAGTGAGCTAAGTGTGACTTCACAGTGGGATCTGGCTGCCAAAGCCACCAACGCAAACCTGGGCTGCATCAACAAAAAACAATGGTAAAAATGCCCCAGGGAGGGCTCCAGACAGTTCTGCCTTGCCCTGGTCAGAAGGGGTGTCCAGCTCGGAGCTGACCCTTACCTGGACACAGACAAAGCCTGGTGGGGACCCAGACAAGGCCACGATGGAGAGGGGCCTGAGCAACAGCGAGGAGACGTGGGACCCTTGGGAGAGATCAGAGTGACAAGGCAAGAGTGAAGTGGACATCTAGCCCAGCTAGTCTCCTGAGACCTCCCAGGCCTTGGGGAGAACGGGGACACCTGAAAGTATAATCAAGCATACAGTTGGTGCTCAAGAAGTGTTTGGTGAGTGAATGAAAGAACACCCGGAGCGTGGGTGTAAACGAATGGCCGAAATGTGCAAGACCAAACCTAATAATCTAGAAGAAAAGAACAAGTAACCACTCACAAACTTGGATTCTGTCTACACTGCTGTCAGCTCTGGCCAGCATCTCATTTATGTCACTGAAGAGTGAGAGGAGTGCGAGGTCCCTCCCTGGAGGAAAGGACACATCTGTGCAGCCATAGATGTCCTGCCAAGAGCTGCCTCAAGCCTGGGAGCTTCCTGCAGCCATTCATTCACTCACCAGATATACAGGGATCAGCTACTATGTGCTGGCTCTATCTACATCCCAGACATGGAGCAGTGAACAAATGCGCCTGCTCTCTTGGAGCTTAGGTTCCAGTAAACCAACACACAGACGAGCATGTTTGTAATATCAGGGTGGGCTAAGAAGGGATGGAGGGGACTGTTTTAGGCTGATGAGATGTCATTTGAGCAAACACTTGAATGGAGAACGGAAGGGAAGCATATGGTTATCTGGGAGAAGAATATCTGAATTGATGGAAGAGCAAGTGCAAAGGCCCTGGGGTGGGCACGTGCCTGGTATGTTAGGGAAGCAACAAGGGTGCCAGAGAGACCATGTGGGCAAGCAGAGGGTGAAGGGAAGGAGATAAGGTCAGAGGTGATGGAGTCCTGGTCACAAAGGGCCTCTTAGGCCCAGGGAGGACTTTGGCCATTGCTGAATGAGATGGGATCCTGTGGGCATTTTTTTTTTTTGATAGAAGTGACATGATTTGACATTTCAGCATGGCCATTGCATGGCCAGAGTGGTGCGGGGGAGGTGGGAGGTGATGATGACCATGGCCCGGGAGCCCTGTGTATCCTGCAGCCTCCATCTTTCACTCAGCCTTGCCATTGCCCTTCCAGCGGAAGCCTTGGGCCTGGACCACATGGTCCCCGTCCCCTACAGGAAGATTGCCTGCGACCCGGAGGCTGTGGAGATTGTGGGCATCCCGGACAAGATCCCCTTCAAGCGCCCCTGCACCTATGGGGTCCCCAAGCTGAAACGGATCCTGGAGGAGCGGCATAGCATCCACTTCATCATTAAGAGGTACAGGGTGTGGTGCGGGGGCAACAGCAGGCATGAGGCAGGGCCCTGGGGAGGTGATGGTGGGGCAGGGGTGGAATGAAGGGGTTCTGTGACTAAACAGAAAAAATCAGGCAGACCTAGGAGAGAATTCAGTCTCCTTAACCTAACAGCTGTGCGGCCTTCTCTTCCCTGGGGAGGGTGTTGGCCCTCATAGCTGGCAGGGTAGTTGTTGTCACCGCTACCTGGAGTCATCACTAATCTGGCACCAGCAGCTCTAGACAATGCCTAGACTTCCTCGTTGCTCTCTCCTAAATGGTTAGAGATGGAGGGGTGGCCAGAGGCCATGCCAGCCAGCCCCCTGCCTCTAGGTAGCACTGGTCCCTTCCCAGGCATCTGTTCCAGAAGCTCTCTGAGGGCAAGGCTCCAGTGTGTTCATGTAACGGTCTCTGGTGTGTAGTAGGTGCCTAATTCGTATCTGGAATGGATGGATAGACGGGCAGACAAATGAATGCTTGTCCAAATTTGGGCCGATGACTTATGACTTCTTAGAGCTCAGGAAATAAACAGGATAATGGGAAAGAAATGGGTGGGGGTCCTTTTAAGGGTGGGCAGGGGGCCTCTGAGAGAAGGTCTCATTTGTTAAGCCATAGCTGGGAGTTTTAAGAAGGGGCAGCCCACACTGAGCTGGGCAGTGGGCAGAGGGTTGGCCTCATTGAGCAACCTAGACATGCAGGGGTACAAGGAGGCTGGGATGTGGGTAGAGGTTTGGGTTTGGCTCTGAGAGCATGGAGATCATTCTAGAGCAGAGGGAAGGACCTCTGTGCAGGGTTACTAGAGGCCAGAGCCAGGGTCTGATGGGCCCTCTGGCTGCTGAGGGAGATCAGACGCTGGGGAGAGGAGAGTAAGGTGGGACTCTCACAAGGAGGCTGCGGCAGTGGGCCAGGCCGGTATTGTGGGTAAAGGGAGAGAAGTGGCTGGATTTGGGATAGATTCTGAGCTGTAATGGTGTTTGTCAGTGAATGGGATGTCGGAGCAGGACAGGAGGCAGGGAGGCAAGGATTCCACCCCGCCACCCCCGCCTCCCCGCCCTCCCCGTTTCTGAGTGAGTTTATTTTGAATATGTTAAAGAAGCTCAGGGGATGGAATTCTCAGAGGCCGAATTGAGATATCAGATATCAGATATCAGATATCAGATATCAGATATCAGATATCAGATATCAGAAGCTCGGGAGAGAGATCTGGGTTAGAGATAAAAATCTGAGGGTTGTCAGCATGGGTCAGGAAGGGATTATGGGAGGAGAGAGAGGCGAGAAGAGCCCAGGTAGACCCTTAGATTCCACATAAGAGGCCGAGGTGAGGATGAGAGGCTGAGACAAGTGGCTGGTGGGGCCGGGGGGAGCCTCTCAATGCCTCCTGGGAGATGATTCTGAAAGTTCTTACCAGCACAGAGCTCCTTACTGCATCTGGTCCTCAGGGTACAGTGCACGCTCTCTGGTCTGTCGGCAGCCACCTTGCCAACCTTCTTGCCTTTCCACTCCTGGGAACTCCTGCTGCCTCACCTGCTTCCAGGCCTTTGCTGAAGTCCTTCCCTCCACCTAGACCAGCTTCCCACCTGTCTTCCCACCTGTCTCTGCCTTTCAAGGCTCACTTTTTCTTTTCTCTGCATCTGAAAGCCCTCCCCATCCTCATTTGGAAAGAATTTTGCACTCTGGTAGCAAGTGGTTTCTTTTGCAACACTTAGACCACATCCGAGCCATCTCTTGTGCCTCACAACCCCGGCTTGATAGGGTCCTGGTCACACAGGGCACTTGATAAATGATTCTGTAGGTGAACTGAAATCAAGTACCCTTCTGGCAGGCAGTGCCCTCTGTTGTCTAGCTTAAATCTCTTGCTGCTGCCTAAGTCCCTTTCCCTCAGTTGACTCTTGGTACAGGGCTACGAGAGAAGAAAGCAGCAAGAGCACCCCAGTGTCCCCTTACATGCCTGACCATGGTATTTGACCTCCCTCAATCCAAACTATAGCTCATTTAATTTTTCACTAGTATGTGCTGAGTGCCTCCTACAGGCTCATTTACTAGGCTCTGCCGAGGACTTCATGAAACAGCAGGCACAGTCCCCTCCTGCCCCCAGAGGCCATTGCCCATTATAGGGGGTGGTCACTCCTATGATGAGTCCAGGACACATCAAAACATGTTTTCAGGCTGAATGGCTTCTGACTAGCAAGCCTGTATGGCTTCCTGGAGGAGGAGGCTTTGGCATCAGGCAGGCTGGGCTTGAAGTCACTCGCAGCTTGATAACCTTGCATAGCAGTTTCTCTTCTGAGCATCAGTTTCTTCATCTATAAAAATGGGACAGTGATGCCCCCTCCCAGGTTTTTTTCAACACCAACTGAGGAAGTGGACATAACATGTAGTAGATGCTCAATAAACACGAGTCCTTTCCCTTGACCTCATCTCCCTCATGTATAAAGGAATAATTAAGCGCATGAGCACTGATGGCCTGGGTTCAAATCCTGACCCTACCACTTCCTGATTGTATATCCTTGGGCAAGTCATTTGACTGCTCTGTGTCTCACTGTCCTCATCTGTAAAGTGGGCCTAGAGATTGTCCATGCCTCAGAGTGCTGATCGGAGACTAAATGACTGGGCGTGAGTGAAGTGCTTGGAACAGTGGCTGTTTCATTCTGAGCCCTGTACACATTTACCACTATTACACATTCCAGCTTCTTCAATGGAGCATCTGAGATCATCCTAGCAGACATGGATCAGGAGAAAAGGGGGTTAGGAAGCAGCCAGGAGGTGGAGTCTCTGCCGGGCCCAGGTGCGGAGACTGGGGTGGGGGGAAGTCAGGGTGCTCTCCTACCAAGGAGAAGCACCTCCACAAGGCCTGTGGGTTATTGGTAGTAGGGGGCTCCCTGGCCACCAAACCCCAATTTGTGCCAAGCTCTGGCCTCCAACTCCACTGTCCCTCCAGGACACAGCCCCTAGTGAGGGGATCTGAGTTCACGCCTGAGGGGCCGACATGTTGGTTCTGCCCAAGGCAGAGCTTAAGAGGAAATTTAAGAGGGAAAGTGTCTGGAGGGGTTCTGAGATTGGAGTGTGCTGTTGAAGATTGGCAGTGGCCCTTGGTCTACGCCCATCAAGCAGGCCTTCAGGCTGGGCAGCCCATGAGGGGTCTGTCACAGTCTTGGAGCCACCAAGAGACCTGTCATCTGCCCCCCAGCTCCACTCAGGAAACTGTGCAAGCCCTCATCCCTATGTTCCCATGTAAATAACTAAAACCATAAATAATAAAACTGCCAGCAATGCTGGCAGCCTCCTGTCACCAGGTGAGGAAGCAGGGCTCGGAAAGGAAGCCACTTTTCTCCAGAATTCTTTGCTGTTGCTGCTTCATAGCCTTGTGGGACCCAGACAGTGGTGGGCCGGTCCCCAGGAGCAGTAGAGGAACTAGGGGCCTCTCAGAAAGAGAATAGGGTCATGTCATGCTCGTGGTCTCATCGCCCTGGAAACCCAGGCTTCACTTCCTGTTACTGACTATTATGCCTCTGTTTGAATTTTCTGCTGGGCCTGCCTTAGGCATTGCCCCCTTGTATTCAGACTTGGACACCCCTTCATTTGTCCCATGTCATCTCTGCTGCTCAGGTTCCGCATTCTGCCGGGTACCACCCTGGCTGGGGCTGGAGGCAGAACAGAGAGAACACTGGCCCTGGACATGGGTGGGTGGGTGACCCTACCTCTCTTGCCCACTTTTTCTTCATTCTCATTTTCCTGGCCAGTCTTCCAGGTGTCTTATTAGCATGACTCAGGGGGCCCTGAATGGCCCCTAGGCTCCCAGCCATCCCTCATCCTCCCAGCCATCCTCTGTGTGATGATGGAGTGATCTGACAGTGCCATTCCCCTCAGGGACTTCCTGTTGCCCACAGGGTAGAGACCCATGTGCTTGAGCATCAGCTAGCCAGGTGGAACACATATACCCCCTCCTCCACCATTACCTAGAGAACCTCTCAGCCATCCCACCTGAGCTTGCCGTCCCCTCTCCCTGCAGTCTTTCCCAGCCCCACTTCTGCTTGGGCCTCCTTGGCTTCTGAGATACATATGAGGGGTCCCACGTGTCACCCAGCATGGCTGATCTGGTGACAGGCCAGGCTTATGCAGTCAACAGATTGTTTCTTGGGAGCAGAGCCTTTCCCTGTGCCTGTCCCTGAGACACAGGTGGTATTGGGTAAAAGCCTGTGGGGTCCCCTGGTGAGAAAGGGTGTGAGTCATCTGCCAGCTGTTGCCAAGGAAAGCTTGGGGCTGGAGGAGGCCCCTGGGGCATCATGCTGAGCAGGTTGGACCCTCTAGGACCACCCTGGGGCTGACCCATGGCTTCCCTGGCTGAGGAGATATGGTTTGGGGTAGCTGGCTGTTCTGGACCATGCCCTCTCCTGTCCACATGTGTGGTTATCCTGGAGCCCAGGTCTGCAGCTATAGCTGTGCGTGTGTGGCTCCAGTGACTCACTGAAGGGACTTGGAGGTCAGCTCCCTGAGCCGGGGAGAGCCCTCGGCCTGCACTGCTCTCATGCTTCTCTCCTCTCTCCACAGGATGTTTGATGAGCGAATTTTCACAGGTATGTGTGGGTACCACCTAGTTTCTTCTGAAGCACCAAGTCGATGAGTACTTGAGCTGCAATTACACTGGACCCCAGGCGGGGAAGGAGCCTGGGTGTGGCTTCTGCACCCTGGGGCAGGCAGACACAGGCCCCCAGCTCCCAGGACAAATAACCCCTCAAGACTTGGGACGCCCTGGACAGAGAATAATAAAGCTAATGTTTTCTGAATACTAACACGTGATTTGTACTCTTCTGAGCTATTAGAATATTTCATTTTAATTTAATTTAGTTTTCAACAGTCCTATAAAGTGAGTGTTTTTCTTTTCCCTGAAGCCTAGCAAGTGAGCAATGGGGCCTGGCTACAAATGCAGGAGTGGCGCCCCAGAGCCCAGGCCATGACCAGCAGGCAGCACGCCTCTCAGGAGGAAGAGGCCAGCTCTGCCTGGTGCAACAAAGGGATCACGGATCTTGGGATGCAGCGTACTAAGATCCCAATTCCAGCCCTACCTCCCACCAGCTTTGTGACTGTGGGCAAGGTCTTATGGACCTCAGTTTCCAAATCTGTGAAGTGGGGGTGATAACAGTACATTCCCCTGGGTTCTTGGGGTAATTAAATGAGAGGGTGGTCCCACGGTTCAGCCTTGGAGGGGACTCAGCCCCTTTCTCGAGGGCTCCCTCAGCCCCAGCAACATGTGTAAGGTCGAGACTGTCATTTCTGGCTGCTCCTTCCTTTTGCCCAGTCCTCACAGATTCCTGCTCTCCCTGGCACTGCGGCTCTTATTCCTTCTCCCAGGGGATGCATCTCTCCCCAGAACCCACCCTGGCTTGGTTGGACATGGAGCCCACAAGAAAGAGGGACAGAGGCCAGACCATACCCAAGAGTTCCCCCAAGAGCTTCACACAGAGACCGCTCCCCAGGTGGCCTGCAAGCAGGAGGCTGGGGAGCCTTTGCCCTGACCTCCCCCACCCCTCTCTGACTCTCCACCCAGGGAATAAGTTTACCAAAGACCCCACGAAACTGGAGCCAGCCAGCCCGCCAGAGGACACCTCTGCAGAGATCTCCCGTCCTGCCATCCTCGACCTGGCCGGGACTGTTCGGTAAGGCTCCACCCCAGCTCCCGGCCCATGGCCACCTCCACTCTGGGCTGGGGTGGTATCACCTACAGGGAGGAGCAAGGCCTAGGGCTGGCCAAGGATGCTGTGCCCAGCGTCTCTCAACCCCCTGATGCCCTGCATAGGCAGAGGGTCAT